AAGAAAAGAAAAGAAAAGAAAAGAAAAGAAAAGAAAAGAAAAGAAAAGAAAAGAAAAGAAAAGAAAAGAAAAGAAAAGAAAAGAAAAGAAAAGAAAAGAAAAGAAAAGAAAAGAAAAGAAAAGAAAAGAAAAGAAAAGAAAAGAAAAGAAAAGAAAAGAAAAGAAAAGAAAAGAAAAGAAAAAAGAAAAGGCAGGCAGGCATAGCAAAATCAACCCATTTTATTACCAGATAATCTCAGCTATTTTGCTTGGTCTTTGTATTGTTTTACTTTACAAGTCAGGTATTTCTGGAGTGCCATCCGGGTGCTTGGAATCGTGCAGAACACAAAAACACCAAAATGCCTAGAGGGTTTTCAGGCACTTGGCTCGCCTATACGCCACATTCATGAAATAGCGCATTTCATGCGATGCCTACCACATCTGTGTGTGTTGCCCGATATTCCGACGTGTCCTGCAGTTAACTCTAGGAAATTTATTTTCTGGCATGCCATATAGACAAAGTTGTAGCATATGGACCCAATTCAAGTTCAGACTCTTGGATTATTAATAATAGACATGGTGTGAAGAATGTTTCCCTGCCTGCTGGAGGTTTGTGGTGAGAGATCGCATGTACGAGGCCCAGCAAGTAAGTTCAGTTCCACAGACTCCTTTCGCTGGGCCCCTTATACAAGGAACCAGCCTTTGAACTGAAATTTGTAACTTCTTTGTTTTCTATATAAACCTAGACTGAAATAAGTAATTAGTGGAGGGAAGCTTTGGCACACTTTGTGAACTGTCTTACCAAAGGGAAAACGTTGCTGCCGTTTCTGTCCTGAGCTTGGTCAAGGAGGCATTGTGAGGGCCGGAGAAATTCACATGGGCAGCACACAGTGATTCATGGGTAGATTATTCCATGTGTTGTGGGTTTTTAATCCCAGTCTGACTTCTATGCAAGAGTGGTCTCTTGTTACCTGATAGGTATTTCTAGAAGTTACAAATGAACTTTAAATAAGTGGAAGAAAAATGTGCTGCATACCAAAACCCTTTCTGGAGGTTCCAAAGGCAGCTTTGAGGGTGTCTCTCTGTTCCTTTTTAGCTGTGGAGAAAACTGAGTTAGCTGTGTTTATTAAATGGAAAGAACTTCATTAATAGTAGCAGTTGATGGGATATATTACATGCATCCCAGCATATGATTAATGATTCTGACTGAGTTCCATAGATTTCCTACTTATATAAGTATTCTTCTCTTGATTTTAGTTACATTTCTTTTACTCAGTTTGCCAATGTGGTATTAAGGATGAATATTATTTGAAGACAAACTTTTAGAATTTTTATTTAATTAATTTTATTTATCACTTATTATTTTTTAATTTGCTACAAAGCACATGTACTCACCAGAGAGAGGGACAGAGAGAAAATGAAAAGCAAGCCATCAGGTCTGAGACTTGAACCTGCTTGGCCATGTGGAAGTCCAACACCTTATCTACCATGCCACCTGCTGGCCCTGAAGACAGACTCTTGACCAAGGACTCTTTTTTTTAGGAAATCTACAAAGATGCCAATACCCAAGTTCACACATTAAGAAAGATGGTCAAAGAGAAAGAAGAGGCCATTCAAAGACAGTCTACTTTGGAAAAAAAGATTCACGAATTGGAGAAGCAAGGGACCATTAAAATTCAGAAGAAAGGGGATGGGGACATTGCCATACTGCCAGTTGTGGCTTCTGGTGCAGGGTCAGAAGCGGTAACAGGTAACTACGTGGGACCAGTTACAGGGGCCACGTCCTCAGGCCCCTTGCCTCCTCCGCCCCCACCACTACCTCCGTCATCAGACACACCAGAAGCAGGTAAGAAATCGTACAGGGAAAACTAAGACAGTATCTGGATACTAGTATTTCTTCTTTTAGCAATTGTTCATTTTTCTCTTTTATTTGCTTTTAGTGACATGTTTTTTTATGTACTGATTTTTTTCCCCCAATTTACCAGAGGTCTCGTGTGGTCACTGGAGAGCCAGTGAAAGAGTTGTGGTGGGTGGGGAGTGAGAAAGCATCCCCATGGGGGACAGTTATGTCCCAAGCCCTTCTCCGTTTCTCCCTCCTTTTGGGATCTTGAACACTCACACAGTTGCATGGCATGTTTGTTAAGTCACCGGTCTAGGATTCGAACTGCACAATCCACCATGTGGGATCCTGTTGCCTTAACCACCACGCCGCCAGCTGGCACTACTTAGTGATTTTAAGAACTATTTACATTTTGAGAGAAAGGTCATAAATCCTCATTTCACATCTGTTGCGATATTCTACCTATTTGTTAACAAGGGAATTTTATGGTTTTGAACCATTTGTCCTTTTCTGTGTTTTGTTTTCGGAGACTGCCACACACATGACATATTGTGGGAAACCATTCCTCTGTTTTCAATCTCAATTTGTTTCTTTTCTCTTTATTAGTACAAAATGGCCCAGTAACTCCACCTATGCCACCGCCG